GTATTTGAACAATAGTTATACTTTCATTTGTGTGATGAATAAGATATTATTAAAAGGAGTGTGTAATTTGATTTTTCGCAATCCTCGAATCGTACGATATCGTACGTTATTTCATTGTTATCATAATCTACCCATAGGGATAATGGTAGCACAGTCTGCAACCATTAATTGCTGAGCGGCGACCAAATACTGGTACTTTCATTGCGTTTGGGGTCTCATAGCGTGATGTCTTTCTAGTCATCTTTCAAGTAATCTTTAAGTTAGTTATTGTCGTTAAGGAGAGAACGTAGACTGCCATCAAGCAAACTTCCCAAGTTTGAGCCCCACCTGCTCCACCAAACTTTGAACGACGTCCTACTGTCACTGAGCCTTTTGGTGTATGCAGCTTAATGTTCTGTCACTCGCTTTTCCCATAATGCATGCGGAGGGAATGTCATGTCAAATAATACATGTGCAATACAAGTAGGTACCAATGATTGCAGATCAATGATGTCACAAGTCAACTTCGAGTGATGATCTATAAGTATAATCGAATCTGATTACAAATAGATAAAAATAAGTATAGACCAATAAAAGACAATGAAGTACGCAAAATTCCACGATATGTTATTTGTTGAGAAATTTTTGAAAAGATGTCAGAAGTGGGATTTGAACCCACGCCCACATTCGTGGACCAGAATGCTCCATCGTACGACGGCAAGAGATTCTTGAGTCTGGCGCCTTAGACCATTCGGCCATCCTGACTGTTATACAAGACGAAATATGGTAACCGGTCTTTATCTACTTCAACCTATGTTCAACTCTTTCGAAATACAAAAGTAGAAATGACATTATGATTTACAGATTTAGGAGAGGCTGCAAAACCTTGCCATTAGTAAAATATATAAGCCTCATATTTCCATATGTGTTGTCATCAATAACTTATCATCAAGTTAATAGAAATCACAAAGTTACTTCATACTTGAGTTTAAAACGCGACTTGAAAGTTGAACTTGCGTCGCGTCAGAAACATCGATTATTAATTGCGATTTTGGCAAATCAGCTCTCAGACCAATCACCCATTTCAGTATAACTATAAACATTATATATTAAACAGTGATGAAAATCAGCACAATTACTTTATGAAATGCGAGCTCAAATATTTGAGAAGGTAAAGTTACAAAAAACGAACTTGAGTTTAAATTGATGGCATAGTAGTAGTAAAACTACCCAGTGGCAGTGGCGTAACGTTACCTGTTGGCGCCCCAACAGGCAGTTAACTGGTCCTAAAACTGGCTTATCATACACTCATTTAAGGGGGCATACACCAAAACTGTCGAACCCAAATTACCTCATAGTCATAGGTAGTTCAGTGATCATCTAGCGCACCGTTTCCACACCAAAAAAATTATTTTGAGAAAACCTATTTTTGTTGTATCAGTATCACGTCGTGACCCCCACGGTCGTTTCACTATGCATATGCCTATGGTGTAGAGGTTTTACGATACAGGGCCGGGGAGCCGCGCACTCGTGTTGCGTGTGCGGCGGTTCATACAACGCTTTCGATAGCATATGCAGGGAAGCACTCCTGTTCAACTTCAAGCTGGGTAACATGGGCATAACAGGCAAATTCTTCGATTGCATCAGCCACATGTACAATAACTCTTCAACCCGAGTCAAGCTGATTCAAAAGCTATCCGCAGCCATTGACGTCACCATCGGCACAGAACAAGGACATCCAATGTCCCCCGAGCTCTTCAAACTCTATATCCACGAGCTCTCTATCAGACTTGAACAAATCGAGGAATTGGATGTACCTTTATTAAACGGTGTAAAAGTAAGTCACCTCCTATGGGCAGATGACCTGGTACTCTTGGCGCTGGATGCGGGCAGCTTACAGAAACTGCTCAATTGCTTGCATGACTATGCTGAAAAGTGGGAGCTGTCTGTGAATATCAACAAAACCAGCGTGATGGTCTTTAACACAAGCTCACGAATACTGAAATGTGCTTACGGCTTCAAACTAGGCAACTTGGACATCGCACCAGTCAGAAAATACTGCTATCTAGGAATCCAATTATCCCTGAACGGTTCCTTCAAGCAAGCAATCGATGAACTTAGGAAGAAAGCTCTTCGCTCATTCTTCTCTCTGAGACGAACTATTGACACGAGAGCCCTTACCACTAGCACGATGCTAAAACTCATTGATAGCTTAGTCAAGCCAGTGGCCACATATGGATGCCCTATTTGGCTGCCATCATCCAACATCGTGAAAGCCATCCTCTCGAAAAATCAAGAAGCGAGTCTTCCCAAAGCAGCAGCAAAAGATGCTCTTGAAACTACTCACTTGAAAATTCTTAAATGGATATTGGGTGTCCACAAAAAGGCAAATAACAACTTCTGCTACGGAGATACAGTAAAACAAATTTTTTTTAGTAAAACAAATTTTATTTTATACCCACAATCAATTCATATTTAGTTCAAATATTTAAAGTCAAAATAACCATTTCACATAAGTGGTTATATTATAATAAAATAATTTGTGATAAATTAATAAATTAATTTACACTCAAAAATGAACAAAATATACACAATTTTTACCTAGTGCAACACTGGTTCAGCGCGCGGCTGATCGAAAAAGTTTGATTTGCATTTACTAACTACAGTGTACAACGTACATGAAAAATTACTTACTGAATCTTTTAATACTAGACACATTTTAATTCAGATGTTGTTCAATGAGTTAGCCACAAAAATGTTCAAATTATGTAGGAGGGTAAAGGACACAATTGCTAGTAGTGCTTCTTTGTGCCCGTTGACTACAATGAACATTTTGCGGAGTTTCTCCAGACGGCTTTTATCGGAGTGCGTGTTATTTACTTGGTTATGCACAAGCCAGGGCAACATTTTGTTTTTGTGTCAGCCGTGCTACCAGGTTGCAGAGTATCATAAACACTAAACAATTATACACTATACAAATTTGCTAATACAATATCATGCAGAGTCCGATCTAGCTGCATGGCTAACGTCAGACACCACAGTTCAGCCGCCAAGTACCGTTTAAGTGAACACCGAAACACGAGGTTTAGGTGTCATTTTGTAAATCACTTTATGGATGGATAATTCAGTAATTGTTGAAGAAAATTACAGTCACTACCACCTATAGCGTTATGTCATGGGTCTGATTAACGGCCAAGAATAAACGTACGTGCGCGCTTAAGAAACCCGCGCAAATGTTGAAGTAGAAAGTAGCTGGTAGAACCCCCTGGACAGTAACCGTCATCCCTCAATGTATTGCCTACTTCTGTAGAGCATCTCAAGCGGTAGTAGGTAACGTGAACACCCTCTTGCACCATACATTTCAGGAACAGAAACAACTGAACCTTACCTGGTATGATGCATGGTCTACTATCATCAAGACGAGCACTGTCGCTAAGCCACACCTACCCCACACCCTTGCGGCTCGTGAACACATATACGAAACATTTGTTAACCACTGGAAGAAGGATCTTCACAACCAGCCTAAAATGTCATTCTACACTGCGGTCACAGCTGAGTTTAATTAGTTATGAGTTATTTCCACTTCGTGATATTTTGTATCACGTGGTGACTCCCACTGTCGCTTCACTATAGTGTATCGTCTTCGACGATACAGGGGGAGCAGCGCACTTCGTGCGCGGCGGGTCATACAACGTATGACTAGTGATATTGTAACGCGGTTAAATTTTAAGATTTTATTTTTATACTTTTATTCGGCTTTTGTTTTATAACTGAACGTATTTATGAATTGATGTATAGCCAAAACGAGTTCGTTAGTGTTCTCCTTGGTAATTTCATGTTTAATTCCTGTTTAATACAAGTACGTATGACAATATTTTTGTAATCGAGCATTTCTCCCTGGTTAGAGTGGAATTTTCGGAAAAACAAAATTTGTTTCATAGAGAAACTATCATTTCTTGCGGTATCGGGTTGAAATTTTGCTCGCCATTTATTCACATCTATTTCATATTTCAAGGTGTGTGTAAAATTTTGATATCGTATCTAAAAAGGCTGGTGTGTTTTAAATTTTTAAAGCTAAAGTCAGAAAGCTAAAATTGTCCTTTTCAGGCTTATTTTAACCGAGAAGTCAGTCAGGGAAGATCGGATTGATTTGATGCTTGACAGTACATGAAATTGTTCTCTGAATTCTGGCGCAGTTTTTGATGACCTCAAAAATGATTTTACTCATTTTTCTTCAGAGCTCGCGCGACATTAGGCATGATTTGTGCACGCGTGTGGCGTGGCGCATTCCAATCTTCAAGCAGCCAGCATACAGCACGTGACACAATTCAGCCAATCAGAGGACAGGAATCCGCAAAGTTAAAGTTGCAAACTTTTGATCGGCCAAATGAGACGCTGTCTTAAATTTTCCTCATGGGGAGGTAACGTTACTTTTACAAGACGAACATGTTACAAAAAACTGGAAATCGTTATCTCTTTAACTTTTAAAGTTAGGACCTGGCCAGTAAGGGTTTCTGGGTCGACGGTCTTGATATTTGAAACAAATATTTTACGATCTGTATCACCCGTTAACTTTTGTTAACAAATTTTGACGAATGTCAAATACAAAATACACTCCGCTTGTAAAGTAGCGCGGGCAGGGTCAGTCCATTGACTGAATTTCTTACCCGCAACCAATTAGACAGTCAATTATAGATGGCATATGAGAAGATTGAGCCTGAGGTGTTGAAGTTTGATTGAGGTCGGAGAAGCTCACTGCAAAATTTCATCAAAACGAAAATTCATATTTTCCAAATCCGGTCCCATTTTCGAATATGAAAATTTCTGAACACAAATTTTTGCACATAGAGCAATTAGTCAGTTAACTGATGATGGTTTGAAACCAAATTTGAAGTACTGAAGTCAAAATCCCGAAGAAAATTGAAAAATCATATCTTCCCATTTTCAGATTTTAAAGATGAAATTTCTCACCCGCATAATATACGATTGAGGTGCTGGAAGTTTGATTGCGGTCGAAAAAGCTTACTTCAGAAAATATGAACAAGTATTGGCAAAGTGTAAACAGATTTTTAAGAATGTTGAAATGGTTTTTATAAGAAATACAAGTTAAACATAAATTAATCAAGTCTAAACAAAATTAATTGTTCAAAATCTAGTGATGTTGTACCGGCATCAGCTATCAATAGGCTCTGCTGTAGCCTATAATTAAAATCTTCGAAGACTGCAAAATCAAAAATTCATATTAAATAAGAATCACTAAAACAGCCAAACTTTTATAACTGTGACCAACTCCCCTTATCTGTTAGTGTTCCCTCTGACTGTGGTAAAACAAACAATATATCGTAAAATAAGAACATTGAACATGCTAGGAGATGTTTTTTCAGGGCATGTTACAGTGCGATTGAGAAGTTTCCTCTTTATACTCCATCAGTGTCATGGTAATTAGCTTCCCCAAACCAGATCCTAAGATAACAGCTAGGAACAACCACACGTTGAATGTCATGGCAACCAGCATGAGGAAGTAGCTGATGGTCAGGGAGAGCATGTGGACTGTGACTGAGACTGCTGTGTAGATCGTCCTGTGTCTGAAAATTATTTAGTTTTTATTATTTTATTATTTACGGGTATCGGCCTTACAAAATGACAGTAAAAAGGAGATGGCTCTGAAATGTACAAAAATGAGTTTTGTTCATGTTTTATTATCCAGATAGGTAGTTCAACAAGTATATTTTTCTTCCCGGGGGTTGATTTGATTGAAAAACCGTAAATTTGGCGATAAAAATTGTCATCTTTGAAATCTTTCAAAAAAACATGCCTTACAAAATAACAATTTCGTCACGGCTGTCGTTTTTTAACAGCAGCCTATAGAAATTTGATTTCACCTAGGACAGTTAGATAAATATAATAGATTGAAAATTAGAATAGCTTTTACAGGAAAAAGGATGATTAAAAAAGTTGGGCAATTTCGCGTGAAATAGTGCCTTACAAAATGACAACCCAAAACGGCATCACTTCAAATCCGATTAGGGAAAAAGTTTCATTATTCTTTCACGTGTCTTACTGTTAGATATATATGTTGTTTATATCATACCAGTTATTTTATCATTTAGTTATTTTATTATTTTCACTCATAAATTATTCTGTAATAAACTGAGCTCCAAATCTATAAATCGGATTCCTGGACGAAAAGTGGTAGGATTATTGACTAGATTAAACACTGCTGACTATAATATATATATAATAGAGGTGTTCTTAAACTTCATTTTATTATTGTTTATCATGATTTTGAATGAAACAAACATACCTGAGACACATTTTCTGTATCTTTTTAGCAGCGTTACCATTTTTAGAGGTACCGGGTAAGATGACAGCGTCGTCTTTTCGGCAACAAGTCTTCTCGCCAGGTTTATCATCCAAAACTGATCCTGTAATGTGGAAGTGTAACTGTCACCAAGATGTAGCTAGGTCGAACGGAGAAATTAGGTCTCACGCACGAGACCTAATTTAGGTCTCGAATTAGGTCTCACGCAGGCGCGTGATATACATGTAAATACACTTAAAAGCCGTGACAGAGATGGTCCAATATGTTCGAATTTACAGTGTAACTTATTTTACCGGACCAATTTCATACCGTTAAAATCACAAAGCACAATCCGAAGCCTACAAATACGATTATTGCTACGGACAAATATTGACGACCAAAAGTAACGAAATTAGTGAAATTTGAAAAAAAACTCACCTCTCATCTGTACAACCACAGTTTCTTGGCCTCCACACAAACACTTGCACTTTCCCAGTGGGTCGTCAAAGTAAGCCTTGTACCTCCGCAACACTTCGAAACTTATGGACACTATCAGGACGATAACCACTGCTAGGATGAGGCCGGCTGGTGAGGTGGTGTTTGCTCCTTTAAACAGTATGCTGGCGTAACGGCTCGCGTAGAATATACTCTGGGTGTTGAGATCTGTTATAAATATGGCAACGAGTATTGGGATAGTGACATATTCTAGTTTTAAAATCGAATAAAATCTGGGTTTTCAAACCATTAACATTTCCTGTAATTTGGAATATATTTCAAGAGAACAAGACGTTACCCCGTGTGAAATGTCAGTTCCACCATGATCCATTGCATCACCACCAGTATCCATTTTACCCGTATCTTGGTCCATATCACCAGACATGTCATGGTGGTCCATGTCCCCAGATAGTTCCATTTCGACCCTTGCTTTATCGTAATCTTACAAACACGATCTGGTTCTTGTGTTATCCTGTTCTAGTTCAGTATAACTTGGAATTAAAATTACATAGTATATAATGTAGGAAAATACGGATTATTGGTCAAGCTTATTGCGGTATTATAATCAGAAAGATAACCTAATATCAGCAGATAGATAGCAATTTAAGGTACATGACAGTGTAGAGACTAAAGAACAGCAGCACTGCTAACAAATAAACCACAAATACATCACAAAATACTGAGTCGACAATACTGAGTCCACAATGAACGATATAAAATCATATAGATACATAATTAGTATCATCACATTATCATACTGTATTGTACAATACAGTATTGTTGTATATTGTATAGCTACCAACTATACTTATACAGGTTATAGGTCTTATAGTATACAGTGAGTGGTCATTATGATTGGAACAGTCTCACGGTATACCTCACTGTATACCTCACTGTATACCTCACTGTATACCTCACTGTATACCCGTTACTGGGAACAAGCAGCAGTTCACAACACAATCAGTTACATACATGGTGATATTGGTAAAGGAGCTAATGATCACTATAACAGATAGCTTGTCTAGTGTCTACACTCTACAGCGGTACATTGTAATGGTAAACATGGCTTGCTTGGAGTGACTCGTAGTATCTCAAATAAATGTCCCTCCTGGCATATGACCAACTAAACCTAATTGTATTTGATCGGATAAACAAACAACTTTGGACAATGAAAACATTAAGATATTGCAAAGAAGGCAATTGGATTATGTTGTGATTTCCTTGAAGAATCGGACTCGATGAAAAAGGAAGTTCTCGATACGCTATCTGTTCAGGGTAAAAATGGTAATGTTTGCTCGTCTGATGTCGACTGCATTTTAACAGTTCAACAGATTTAACTGCAACTGATCAATTGATTCACAAAAGCTGCTACTTTCGAAAATCCATCGGTTACTTTTTAGAATTTAACATTACTGAGAGGATTCTCCTATTGGCTATAGATAAGCACTGTTGAGAGATCAAAATATTTAAAATAAAAACACAAGATAATGAAATTTCGTGCTCCAACATCCTCGCACAAGGAGGGAGATTAGCAGGGAGGGCTTCTTACCCCACGCTGATGTCGACTGCATTTAGGGACTAAGAAGGGTATGGAGATCAAATTGACTCGTATAGAGACTTTGAAATAACCAGTCAAACATACGACTATATACTATGTTTATCGAAGCATGGCTTTGGAAACATGCCCCAAGGTACTGCTCGAACCTTGCTGGATTTTGCGATCGGTCAGCGTAACACATTGCTTAATATGCTTCACCGGTACACTGATGTTTATTTAGATCATCGTATTTCTTAATCTTTTTTCAAACTTTTCTTGATCCTAACAGAACCACAAGAAGTAAGACCACTGCAAAAAGGAATACAATATAATATATACAGAGGAACTGGTTATACATAACGTAAGTTATGCTATGATTTATTCCAGTTTTGTTTGGGAGCACTTGATTACTATCAAGTGAGTACACCTGAATACGCTCAGATACTGACTGAGCTTACCGAAATAGTTCCACGCGACCTGATTATAAATTAGGTAAAACTTTATCTGCCTTGGCTCTTGTTAACGTTATATTGAATATAAATTATCGTTATTCTACCAACGTTAATAGTACTAGAATTATAAAAATATTATCATGTTTATAATAGTGATATGATTTAGTTGTAATTGAACTGAAATGTTTTTCTCTTTGACAAAAATAAACTTTGCAGATGATAGCAACCTGTGTAGCTGGTGATGAGCTTACAGAAAACAGATTTATCAGTGCACAGGCGTCTAGAAAGAACGAAAAAGATGATGAAACCTATAGGTTTCACTTTGGTTATGGTGGGTTAGTACATTTTAGCTTATGATTAATATTATATTTTTACCTATAGTTTACTTAGATTACGTCCGTATCATGGTATCAAGTACTGGTGGTCGGTTCTTCCGCCCCGTTGGATACATAATTGATAGCTTTTCTTGATATTGCTCTATAATTACATTTATATCTCTCCCGGCCATTGGTTCCGAGATTTGGTTGATCTTTGTTTTCTTGGGCGCCCTCCTTGAAGTCTTGTTGTTGTACATACATCTCCTGATTTATCCTGTATTTACCTGTTTATTTCATTTTCTGGCGTGAGCTGTCCGCCATGCTACGGTACGAGAAACAGCGGCAGTGCAAGATCCGGTTCTAAGAGATTTTTATGGTCGCGAAGAATCTCGCCAGGCTACACTGCGTCGGTGGGAGAACTATTTAGGTTCATGACATCTAACGCCCGCCCAATCATGGCAGCCCCATGACAATAGGTTGATGTCCGACCCGTTGTCCTTGGCCTATCTCGAGTCGTTGGGTCTAGGCGGAAACGCCGAAAGGGATGATGTTACCTTCTTGACTTAAACGTAATGGTAAATTTTTCTCAAAATCCTTGAATAAATGGGTAACCCCTAGTAATGTTTTTTCTAGCACTTTTAGATGTTGCAATGGTAGAGGTTGTCTCACTTGCAACAGTTTTAATCCTGTTAATACATTTAGGAGCAGTACTTTTAATAATGATTTTATCTTTGGACATACAAATTTTATATTTAATTGTAAAACTAATAATGTTATTTATGTTATTACCTGTTCTACCTGTAAAAAACAATATGTTGGAGAAACAACTCAACCACTTCATAAAAGAGTCAATGGCCACAGAAATTGTGTCAAAGCCAAATCATCCACATTTTTATATGAACATTTTAATATTCCTGGTCACGTCTTCTCAGATGCTTCCATACAGATTGTAGATTATGTTGATTCTGACATGTCCACCGATGTCAAAAATGATTTACTTCTCCTGGAGGATTACTGGATAGAGAAGCTTGGGACAGCATTCCCTCTTGGTCTTAATGACAAGAAGAAAGGAACGGGCAACATCTCCCAAGATCGGGTTATGAATTATTTTAGTGGACAGATTGCTCGATACAAACGTGGCAGAGGGAATGGAAAGAAGAAAGTTCAGCCTAAGAAGTCTCTGGATACCATAGAGTCTGTTATTAACAGGCTGAAAGATAACATCTCTTCAGAACATTCCATATACAAAACATTAAAATGTTATAGCTTATCAGATTTAGACACTCTCTACTCTTTGAGTCAAAATAATTCAGGATTGATTTACAACGTATGTTCCTCTTTCTGTTCAACATTTTCCCCCAAATACCATCAGAACAAATCTGAATCCAGTAATAGAGAATTTATAATTGTTCCATTTAATTGCAAATTCATTGATAATCTTAACCTAAAATCTATTTTCTCTGACACTTCAGTCATTGATTTGCTTCCCATTTTGATTCAGTCTTTTACACCATTACAGATTTATTATGAGTATAATGATCCTATAAGTCTTTCTATTTGTAACTATGCTTCATTCTTAAAGAAACTTTCTATTTCTGATATTAAATCTATTTTAGGTAGTCCATGCGATTGTCACTCCTCCCCTTTCAATTATCCTCCTCATGGACATGTAGTTACTGGTAATTTAGATATTGTTGATAATGTTGAACTTAGGGAAGTACTTTCCTACGGTTGTAAATACAGAATTCCCACATTTAAATCTCCAGATGAGATATATATGTCAGTTACCGAAGCTGTCGATAAATTTATAAAATCAAAAAGTAGAAAGTACTGTCAAAAAGAAGTAAAGTTCAGCGATTGGAAGGAAAAAGTGTTATCAATAGTTTCCAATCGTATTGAATATTACAAGAAAAACTTTCCTGAAACATTTGAAATAAAAGAAAACACACTGGAAAAAGATGATGTTAAAAGAAGTCTTAAATTGCTGAAAAGTAAATACATTATTTGTAGTATCGACAAAGCTTCTGGTAATTTTTCATTTATTTGTAAAAAGTTTTATGTAAAAACTCTTGTCAATGAAATGGGTTTTGATCCTAATACTCTAGAATGTATAGGTAATGATACATATAAACCCTGTAGCGAAGACGAGACTCATTATGTCAATAAAATATCTGAGAGTCTAAAGGAGAGATTTAATGTACAAGTTGAAGATAAAAACTTGCGACTAGCACGCATCTTCTGGAACCCTAAGCTTCATAAGAACCCTTACAAGGCGAGGTTCATTGCAGGTGCCCGTTTTTGCGTTACGAAACAACTTAACGTCCAAGTTAACTGTTGTCTGAAACTTTTGAGGAAATACTTCAAGAAATACTGCGAGGCAATCTACAACAACAGCGGTATAAACATGTTTTGGAGCATAGATTCCTCAAGTGAATTCCTTGAAGCTATCAAAAATAGCGATGTTTATAATATACAAGTATATGATTTTACTACTCTTTATACCAGATTAGACTTGATTGAAGTAGAGAATATGATTAATGAAGTTGTTGATTTAATATTTTCAGACCGTAATAGATATATTTGTATTTCTAAAAGAGACAGTAATACATGTTTCTTTTCCAATAAAACCTATGATTCTCATGCCTGCTTTAGTCAAGATGACCTAAAAGAGGCTGTTAAATTTATTATTTATAACACTTATGTCGTCTTCGGTGGGATTGTATTCATACAAACCAAGGGTATTCCTATGGGTGGAAATTCAAGTTCCCCTATAGCTGATCTCACTGTTGGCAAAAAGGAATTTAATTATATGAAACGTTTACTTCAGGAAAAGAAAATGGGATTAGCAAAGATATTATCCAATAATAAACGATATGTTGACGATTTATCTATTATTAACTACCTTTACTTTCATAAATTGATTAAAGATATTTATCCTAATTCATTGGAGATGGAGCGAGCTGGTTCCAATAATAAAATCATTAACTACCTTGATTTAAATATTAATATTTCCACAGAAGGACTAGAAATATCAGTGTATAACAAAACTGATGATTTTAATTTTCATGTTGTATCCCTTACATTTCCTCACAGTAACATCCCAACCGAGGTTGGCTACAACGTTTTTTCAAGTCAAGTTCTTAGATATGGTAATGTTTGCACTAGATTGGATATCTTTACC